GGTCTTCATAACTCAGAAAAGACACCCGAAGTTATAACAAGAAGCAAGAAAGAGCTCGTGGATCAAACGCTGCAAATTCCTCCACAAGTTTCAAGCTTCAAGTTCAAGTTCAAGAAATCAAGTTCAAGTTCAAGAACGAAGAAGAAATCAAGTTCAAGTTCAAGAACGAAGAAGAAATCAAGTTCAAGTTCAAGCAATCAAGCTCAAGCTCAAGAACAAGATCATCGTTCGTAACAACAAACATAGATTCAAGATCAAGCTCAAAGGCCCTTGAATTTATACTAGAAAAGTAGAATCAGAGGAATCATAGAGATTGTACACTCAAATATTTGAAATAAAATTACGATTGTTGCAATATTTTTTGGTCTTGATTTTATTTTCTCGAACCAAATTTATTGTCTACAAACGCCACCGGGCGGAGGGTATTTATTGCCTCTTAATGAGTGTCATTTCTACCGGTACCAAACGGGATAACTGCTTTCGGTTCCACGTCTCATTCTTTTAAGAGGCCACCTCGCATAACATATTTTACCCTATACAATTATTTGCTGAAAGGACATGTGAAAGGAAAAAAACCATTGAGATTCTATAGAGAAAGGGGAAAACTTTGGAGTTCCAAATTGGATTCTGTAAAATTTACAATGCAAGACCTTAAGGACTTCATTTTTACTTGGTCCTTGACCAAGCCAGTTAATATTGAAAGGATGAACACGTTCTTATGTAGCTGTACAACAAGAAATTGGAGTTGTACTATCAAAGTTGTGATTTTTTATAGGGATAAATCGGTAGTTTCATCCTCATTCCTACACGTAGTCTGCTCCCATAAACATGTGTTCTGCATCTCATATACACATGTACTGCTATTTCCTGTTCTTTACCACTTATTGAACGTCTTTACCCTAACTTCTTTTACTTTTTTTCTCTTTCCCTCAACTAGTAGTCCAGAACTTCCATGGCAATCCCGTCTAGGCTTCAGGGCTGACTAAAACTTCACCTTCGAGTCTCACTCAGTGAATCAGCTTTCGGTCCTCTCAAGCTCTTTTATTTATCCAGATGTATGTGTTTTTTATTTTTGTGGGATACTTGCATTTTGTTCGTTCAATGAGAAATGTTTATTATGCAACTCAGCCTTTTGCTTAAGTCGGTATATACATTTTCTTTCAGATGCTGCAAAATGAGATTTTTATCAATGTTCAACCGCATAATGAAAAAGGAGTATCAGAATGATCCATATTGTCAGTATTTTTCTGAGAGATATTCTAGATGTCGACTGAGATGCATCAATATTTGTGGTTTAATGGTAACAATACATGAAAGCTAAAATATATTTCTCTTATATTTCAATAACAAGATCATTGTTCATATAGTTAAAATAAACCCGAAAGTTATAGAAGATGAATCAGACAAGAATGTATATAAGCCACAAAGTTACTTTAAACAAAAAGTTTCAAAGATTTTTGTTTCATTAGTAAAGGGGATGATAAACTTGTGCGCAATTTCTACTTTATTATAGTTATCAGTTCTTTCTTCACCATTTCCACTTCTCACCGAACGCTCACAAAAAAAAAGGATTTCTTTTCTCAGGTATCTCTTCTAATGACCAAATTTTTTCCGGTGATTGTGTATTAAAGTATAAGTTGAACTCTGTATGAAAAAAATAATCAAAGTTGAATAGCTTTACATGAAGTAATGCAATTATAAAAGGTTAGCAAAATTAGAGGACGTCAGATGGGACGAGATGCTATATTATAAAAATACTTGTGTCCCTCTTTGTAAGGTAAAGTAACTTTTATTTTTTAAATGTTTCTGATTTTCTTTTGAATAAAGGAATATATAGATAATTTGATGAAAATGAATAATATGAATGAGAATGCATTCTTTTTAACTATCTGGAAAGAGCTCCTAAGGACTCATGGCCTTATGTTGTGATGTATTGCTCTCTGATCTAGATGTATTTGTTACGAGATTTCTATTAGTCATTCTAATCCCTAATCATGTTTACTCACCTAATTTCAATTTTTTATACAGGACGAACACAAGGCCTATATCAAATGTTACTTGGCTCACATGTAAGAGTATATTCTCATGATTTCTCATTCTTTTGGAGGTGAAAACACACAATGAGACTGTTGTGCTAATCAAAACTCCTCCTCATTTTAATATTTACCATTCTCAAAAATTAAAATTCTTCTCAATCAGTTTCTAGGCTTTTGATTAGAAATGGGTTCAAATGAGGGGTCAGTATCTGCATAGATTTTTGTTCTTACATGATTTTAGTGTAAAAGGAAACCAACAAAAGGATGGTGTATAATCGCATCAAGTGCTAGAAGAATATAATACGAGGTAGTAAATGTATCTTTTTTATCTCCAAACTTTTTGGGAAAGTTCACAAAGTGACGTTTGTTGCATGAATCATTTCCTTTTTAAGTCTACAAAATGTTTCAAACCGGAACCCATCGTTCTATTTTGTCTTTCACATTTTTCAAGCAAGTGGATTTCATACCTTTATTGTTTGGAATGATTTTGCAACCTTATAATTTATAATTTCAGGTTATTCTGTCATATGGAACAAAGATATTTCAACTCATTTTGTCCTCAAAGATTTCCTTTTATTGAGATTGCAACGGGAAGGTGGCTTCAGATGGCTAAAAATGAAGTTGCATTAGAAGTTGTATCCAATTGTGAAACTCTCAAGTTTGTGTGTTGATGTTTGGCTTAATGTATGCATGTTTTGATGTATATTGCCTCACATTTTGCTCATGTCTCGTAGATTTGAGATGTATAATATAATAATTTGTGCTAATTTGTGGTATTTTTATGTGTAGGAATCATTTGGATACAATTTGGGACCAAAGTGCGTGAATTGGAGCGAAAATCGGACGAAAAGGCAAAAGTGCGAATTTGAGGGCCACAGGCAGCGTGGGGTGCTACCGGTGGCGCTCAAAATAGAATGCTAAAAAATTGAGCGCCAGGGCCAGTGCCCCACGCTGCCCTGGACGCTCAAAACGTGAACATGTCCTATTTCGCCCGGGACTTAGTTATTTCGGCCCTACACGGTCCCAACTCGTATAAAGGGGATCCTAAACCTATTTTGGAGAGGGATGACGTTTTTGTGAGTAACTTTTGACCAAGGGAGAGCACAGAGCCGTCGTGGAGGCGGGGTTTTATCTTTTCTTCCACCAAACTTAGTAATTTTTATGTTTCTTTGTATGATTTGTTGTTTTGCTACCATTTCAATGTGGAGCTTAACTTAACGTTCTAGGATCGTGGTTCTTTCATGACTATTGTTATTTGGATATTGATTTTGATTTCTTTATTTATCATATTGATTTATTTAGTCAATCTTATGCTTAATTATTTGATTGCTTGATCACCAATTGAATACTATATACGAATCTAGAGTTGAACTCGAAAGTGAAAATTCTAGATTGCATATAGGATTGAGTAGAGCAAGTTCTTGAACCTGGACATCGAGGAACGAATTCGCGGTTAGGATAGACATATACCTAGTTGCCTTGCTTGGTTGTGATGACCCAAAAGGTCATCTTATGTTTTAAAACTCGACTCCGTGTTCTGAGGCCTTCAAAACCTCATTTTATCCCTCCTTGATTTGCGTGTGCTGTTCGAGCTTGTTTCCTGAAAGCTTTTATGTGGAAAGTTGAGAAAAATAATAATTTTTGCCTTTAAAAGTTGATTTAGTTGACTTAGGTCAACGTTTTGAGTAAACGGAACCGGACTCGTATTTTGACAGTCCCGGTGGGTCCGTATTGAAATATGGGACTTGGGCGTATGCCCGGAATCGGATTCAGAGGTCCTTAGCCCGAGTAATGAATTTTTGTTAAAAATTATAAGTCTGAAAATCTAATGGTTTAAAGAATTTGATTAATGCTTAATTTCGTTGGTATCGAGCCCATATTTTGGTTCTGGAGACCGGTACAGGTTTAATATAATATTTAAATCATATCTGTGAAATTTGGTAAAAATCGGGGTTGATTTGACGTGATTCAGGCGTCCGGTTGAGAAAATAGAAATTTCAAAATTTTATTAAGAATTTCATGTGATTTGGCGCTAAATTCGTAGTTCTAGGTGTTATTTTGGCGATTTGATCGTACAAGTAAGTTCGTATGATGTTTTAAGACTTGTGTGCATGTTTGGTTTGGAGCCCCGAGGGCTCGGGTGAGTTTCGGATAGTCTACGGAGTGATTTGAACTTAGAAAATTTCGCTGGTATGCTTCAGGTCTGCAGACTTCGCAATTGCGAGGTCTGGCTCGCAAATGTGAAGAATGTTCGCATTTGCGAGCAGTGGGGCTGGGAGGGGACCTTCGCAATTGCAAAGCTCAGGACCGAAATTGCGATCAGCACTGGCCGCATTTGCGAACAATTGTTCGCATTTGCGGTGTTAGCAGGCTGTCGCGACCCCTTTTTTCCTCCTCGCGGAGAACGTTCGGGTTCCGACATTCCATGGGGGTAATAACTCATTTCCTTTTGGAAATTTGGGTTTTTGAAGAGTCGACACCTAACGGATTATGGTGCATTAGGGCACCTAGAGCGATTAACTCTTAGACTAGTTTGCATTACCAGAGATTTAGGGTAATGACTTGAATTAACCTTGAGGGGAAGGTGTTAGGCACCCCTTTCGGTCCACAACGGTGAGTCCCGGCCGAACTTATACTTATGAATTTGTCCTTTAAACAAATAAATAGTTTAAATACATACATGCAAATAAAGGCATGTTTTGGGCATTGTATGACTTAAATAAGGAGACAAAAAGGAAGGGATTTGAACAAGTTGCATATATAGAGAAAAAGTAAAGTTTAAACATCGAGAATTGGGAAAGACGGGTCCTAGGTTGGTTAGCCTACAGGATCACCTCACACAATGCACGGTAATCACTCCTCAATGAGGGGGGCTACATGTGACATTAGCGCGTAGTCATTATATCCTTACTACCCAATTCCTTCCCTTGGCCATAGCCTAAAACGTTCTAGCAGCCTTGAAAATGTATGCGTGCACTACCCATCCCTTCCTCGTGGCACTGGAGGTATTTAGGACCTCTATATTTGGGGCAGTTCTAGACCATCCTAAGTTACTTAAAGGAGAAAAGACTAAGCGTCAACCAAAACAAATAGGACTGCACATAGAGAGGGAACAAGGAATGGCTCACATTTTTACCTCTACAAAAAAATAAATACACGTCTCAGACAATTGTTTCAGGTGCTTGATAAACTTAGAACATGATATATAGGTGAGCAGGAATTATACATCATAAATTAGAGCTAAGTGTCAAAGACCTATTAGTTTGCCTACTGATTTTAAACTTGTGAATACGAGCAGTTATAAATAACAAAGCGCAGTTTCATAGTTACATAATTTAATCTCCCTATAGGCTTGCCTAAACGCATGACAACGATGTTCTATGAGCATGATATCTATATTGATTAGTAAAACAGTGAACAATTTTAAACGAACAACTTGAGATCCTATAGTCATGCTTTCTAGCGGCATTAATTTAAGCCAGTGTTTAAAAAAACTCATTAAACAGGCGACAGATTAATTAAACCAGTTTAGAATGAACAAACATGGGTTAAACTGATTTATTCAACTAAACTGATTTTAAGTTCTGTAGGCATGACTTCTAAGATTGCGAGTTTGAATACATGCTGTAACAAAACATGAACTTCAATTACTTTACACCCTATAGACATGATATCTAATTATAAGGATGATTTAATCCTATAGACATGATCTCTATTATTAAAGCCATTTAGACCTTATATGCATGATTTCTAATATTGTGGTGGAAAAGCAAACATGGCAAACACATTTGAATTAACAAAACCCTATAGGCATGATATCTACCCAATTTACCCAACATATAAATGACTACCCACTCCTTTTTTACTAATCACCCCACTGTTGTTTACAATAACTATTACAGACCAATGGATTAAATAAAAATATATAAATAAACAAGAGTTAATTTATAAGGAGCCTGCAGTAGGCCCAAATGACTTCCAAGCCTCCAATAGCCTCAAATGCCAAAGTTCCATAGACAGTATAATGTCTAGGTGTGTTAGAGTTCCCTAAGGACCTCAAGGATCCCAGGCAGTGCTCACACCTAGACCTTTTCCCAAACAATAATGGATTTAGGTGCAGTGTGGAAAGGCCAGCTCTAACATGCCAGAGTTCAGAGAGATCTCAAGGGTCTCAAGGCAGTACACATATCAAAGGGGCAGAACCTAGTATCCTAAGACCTAAAGTGAGAGTGCTTGACATAGTTTTATTTTGAAAATAGTACAAAGATGGCTTTAGAAGTAGAAAAGTTTTTCAGAAACAGGAAATAACTTGGTGGTAAAGGACAGTTTGAGAAGAGTACCAAAACAACAGACAGTCAATTGGTCATAAGAGACATCCAGATTCAGAAAAGAACACTTAACAAACAAATCTCACATAGGGATAAAGGGATTGTGGCACATAAGAGTCACATTAGGGGGCATGGATAGGGTATGGAGGAAACATATAGTCACAAACTGCATGTAACACTTAGGATCTTAGTAGTTAGGACATAGATAATAGTTATGATACAGGAAGCAAAACATGTCTCGAACAAGATTAAACATGCAATGTAAAAAAGTAAGCAGGAAAGAGTGCAGAATATAAAGCACACATTGACTAGGAGGGTGTTTGGATTGGCTTTTAAGCTGGTCAAATCAGCTTTTAAGCTCTTTTTAGCTTTTTTTCAGTGTTTGGCAAAGTCAAAAAGTGCTTAAAATAAGTTAAAAACTGCTTAAAACGAGCCAAAAACAATAAGCTGGCCAATCCCAACTTACTGTTTTTTGGCTTAAAAGCTATTTCTGCTGAAAAGCTACTTTTTTTAAGACAATCCAAACGGGCTCTAGGACAGAGTCTAGACATGCTGAGCAAAGAAGTAAGTAGAAATGCAAGTTGAATTCATAACTGATGAACTAGTGCAGGAATGAAACATATAGGGTTTGGATTTTAAAACTTAACATAGAGACATACCAGTTGATGAAAAGGGTGCAAAATATAAAGCCAATAAAGTTCCAATATCTAGCCTTGGCTTTCAGCCGGCTAGATCAGTGAGTATCACAAGTAGCAGAAGAGAAAGAGAACTTTTAGAGTGTAAGGAGTAGTAATTTGAACTAATGTTCCTGTGTCCAGAACTTAAAGTGAGAGGGGGTTTATATAGTAATCAAAAGCTTGACGAATAAGGTAAGTGATCAATTAAGTAGCAAATCAGGGAAGTCACATGTAAATCAGCAAGTCTTTCCCTTAATCAAGGGATAATTAAATCAACGGTAAAAGCATGCTAAGTATTTAAGGAAAAGAATCAAGTAAGGTTTAGTATAGAGTAGGTAATTAGGGGTAAATGTACAAAAATTTTAATTAAGGAAACAAATCAGTAAGAATCGGCAAAATACAAACAAGTCAAGGAAAAAAATAATTAAGGCAAGCCATTCAATCAAATCGAGTAGAGAGGTAAGAATCAAAAGTTTAAGGGAAAGTGCTCTAATCAAACCAAGAAACAAGGAATTCAGAATAATCAAAGAGAAAGTCATGAAAGAGTCAGCATGTTTAGCATATAAAATGAGGTAGAACATGAATAGTCAGGATTTCACATAACTTTTGACAAAACAAATAGTTTGAACGGCACTGATTCAAAGAGAATGTTACAGGTCTTAACACGAATAGTCAGGATGAACACAAGCATACAAAATCAGTGAAAGGGTTGAACTAAGAAATTCAGTAGAAGCATATTAGGATAAGAAAATCACGAGAAATCACAAGAACCCAAAGCAAGAACACGATCAGATGTACCAATACTCAACCAAACGAAGAATCCCAAAAATTAGGGTTTTCAGTACAAGCGAGTTAAGGTTGTAGCAGACTTACAAAATCAGTTAAAATATATGAGAAGCAGAAGACTAAACAAAAAAAGTCATCAAACAATTTGTAAAAACAAATTCCGGAAACCCTAGTTTAGGAAAAGATGAAAATCACTTGAAAATCATACGATTCTTGTAAAGAATCTTAAGGTTATTGTAAAACTCACCTAAAACAAACCCTAATCACCTCAGATCTGTACAGATCTAAGAAGTTTAGAAAAAGAATTTAGGGTTTCGAAGAGAACCATACAAAGGTGGAGAAACACGCTTAGAAACCCATAGATCGTTGTCAATATATGACGATCTTACTCGGAATCACACTGGAATGGCCTGAAACAGGCGAGAGAGGAACCATAGATGCAAG